GCCAAGAATTACAAACACGAATTATATGTGTTAAGGTAAGCTCCAAAAGGTCATCACATAATAAATTCCAATGATATTAGTCTGAAGAATAAAAAAAAGGAAGAATGTCATCCTGCTTTGTTAGTAGCGTTTTATGACGCATTATGTAACACTATTAGTGTACATTGCTAACCAATTTGCATATATACAATTCTGTGCAGTGATAGTACTCCTATTTATACAGAAAAAAAGAATTCCGATGGTTTTTAAATCTTAGTCACAACCCGATTTAGTACATACAAATTAGTTCATCACAACAGTGCACTTATGAATCTTTACACTTCTTTTGTCACGGAACTTTATGCTTATTTGCGATATGTACAGTGTGATGCCAAAAAAGTGTAACTTATACCTTATGGGTATCATTTTAACATTAACGATAAGTCATGCCATATTTTTCATCATCGTTTCAATATCGCAAACGTAGGATAATTGTTTCCGACAACCTTACTTATCAGTAATTGATGTTTGTAAATGAAGGCATAACTAAAATAAATGTTTACTATGTTTTCTGAATTTCTGTTCCCAGAACCTGGCAACTACGACTTTAGCTTATGAAAATATCCATGAAATAAGTCAGCTATATCTAACTTTTCAAATTAGAAAAATCAGGGAAGTGTTCTAGTAAATTTTTAATTTCCTTAGCTAAAAATATCTCAAAATCCTCTTAGCTTGTATAACCTTTCTAGTATATTCCCTTTCGAAGTCAACGAACTTCGGTGTGGGAAAAAGTGTCTTGTGGTCGGAGTCCATTTCAGTGTGAAGTTTTTTAAAAAGGCGTGTATCTAAGCAGCCATTATTTTTAATAATATTAACCACTTTTGTGCCCATTTTCATTGTATTAGTAAGACAACTAGCGACAGTCTCCGAAGCTAACGTTTGATGATGTATGATACAATGAATTGTTTATACAGAAGGATTCTTCTGTCTATGTTGCTAGATGGGAATCTGATTCTAACATAGCTGGAAAGCCAATCCGTACAGAAACCTTCTGGTGACCTTTTCCCATATGTTTTTCAAAATGTTTCGCTATTATATTCACGATGTCGACACCTTCTCACGTCGTTTTCAACCCTTCCCCGCTCTCTCCCTCCCCCGAAGTCAATAATTCCTCCTTAATAAGTGTTACTGACGTTTAAAAAGCGTACAAATACGAGTAATTGGCCGCAGTTAGAAACATCTGTCGATTCATCACACTGCAAAGCAAAACATGATGGATTTTTAATTCTCGAAGCAAGCTGTTCTTGACACCTCAATTAAAGCTTTTACCGTGTTGTTCGAAAGAGATATTTCTTGTATTTTCTGTTTAACTTCCATTTTTAAAACTTCAATAGCTTCCATTAAACAAGGTTTCACGAGTATTTCTCCTCTTGCGTATGTTTTTGATCTCACTATCAATTTTGATATCTCAAACGGCGTGATTAATATTTCTTTCGACAATGTAGATCTTGCAGGCCCACGTCTCATCTTTTTCAGATTTTCAGACCTTAATTTTTCTTCAAAAAATTCTGATGGTCGGTCAAATAAATTAGAATGGGCCGTTTCTAAGTGGCTTTTTAATATTGATGGCTTTAAACATTTCTGAGGACATATAACGCACTGCGATTTTATTTCCTCATGATTTTCAATATTGATTGGTAAATCCGAGTTTAGTGTAACTATATTATCCTATTTTATCTTAGGCACCATTTTCTAAAAATAAAACAATAAGCGGCTTATGGAGCTTCTTCTCCTGTCGGGTCATCGAAATTAAAATTACATCAAAAATAAAATTACCACAACATTATAGAATATGTATTAAGAAGGGGAAGAGAATCGACCAAATAAAGTGGAAGACCGGAGTATAATCCTAACATAGCTAGAGTGTCAAGCCACAGCCTGATCCTAACATAGCTTTCAACCGGATAAATCTCTATTGTCCACAAATGAATCAACTTATAGCTTTAAAAAAAAGGAAACAGTTCCCACCTGTTTTCTGTTTTATACTTCCGCTCCACCGCTTTCGGGACCAAATTTTAGTGCTCGTGGACCACGGTTGGAAACCACTATTTTAGATCCTCAGTATCCTCAGATCCTCAATAGATACAGTATAACGCTCACTGAAGCCAAGTGCGCCAACATTTCACTGATCACTCACTACACATTATTTCTGGTGATGCTTGCCCCCCATCAAAAGAACACTTAACCTTCGATTTTATGTACAGAACAGTAATTTCAATTCAAAACTCAATTTAAAATATAAATTTTAAACATGCGTGACATACGTAATCTCTTCCGAGTAAAAGATGTCTCCAGAGCAAGCATTCAAAGTAGAGTTTAAAGTATCTTTAAAACATTTAAAGTAGAGTTTAAAGTAACTTTAAAGCATTTCAAGTTTAAAGACGCAAATGTGCTGTGTCATCTTACGCAGTACTGCGAGGTAAATGCCCCATCATCCCTTCACCCATTACATTTCAATCAGAAGAATGAGTTTTGCAGAAAAATATATAGGGAGTCGGTGACGTAATCGTTATGAAATACGTCGAATCGGATGGGTGAACATTCCTGAAGACGTACTGATGACAAAAAACCAACACTCGGTATAAATAAGACCTGGTGAAGGAGTTCAGATTCTCGCACTGATGGCGACAAAGTAAAAAACTGGATGTAGATTCAATTTTATCATTTAAAAAGAACCAACATAGAATATCAAATGACCAGCTATGACCAAAGAAACCGACAAAAACACATCACAGATAAACGAGAAAGAAGCGAACGCACGTATGCAAAACAAAAAAATCATTTAAATAAAAAACATTTAAATCCTTTTTTTTTTAATTTAACATGACGTTTCATTCTTCATGAACTCACTCTCATGAATTTTTGTCTTATGAAGACGCTAGGGACCTTACACATTGCTTCACATTATATGGAAACTTTTAGAACTTAAAAAAAAAAGAAAAAAACATAAATATAGAGATATGAAATTAAAAGTGGAATATGAAGTATGCAAGGAAAATTGAATGAGAAAGCCAGTCACACCACTACACTAGAAATAATTTACACAATTGAACGATAAATCATAACGATTATCGGCCAGTTTTCAACCCTATCAGTCGTTGCATAATTGCTTGCCGTACAGAAACATTATATCAACCCAATTCAAAAAACTAATAATAAAAATATAAACGAGTCGCTCGAAAACAGACCTTCTTGTTCCATATCCTATAAGTACTAAACTGATCTTTAAAACAAAGCTTCCGAACAAGTAATAAGTTGTAACAAGTATACAGATATGGATAACTATGAAGTAATTCACAATATTTTCTCAAGAAAGGAGTTTAGGAATTAAAAAAAATCACCTAATCTAAAACAGTTAGAAACCAAACCAAATCTATAATTAAGTTCTTGTAATCTCAAAAGAAAGTTATGCTGTATAGATTTCCTCATCTCCTTAATATTATTAATACTCAAAACCACATAAAGATTTGCTCCCATGGGATAAAATAACTTTTAGTACTCTTATACAAGAAAGAAAGCAATGGCTATCATTAATATAATATTTTACTTCCTCTGAAGTTCGTAGTAACCAGTTCTAAAACCACTTTCAAAGATCAATTTACTGATTCAATAATTCCCATGCATCATCGTCCCAATCCTTTTTTGATCCTGCTTTCTTACTGTTTATCGTGACTGGGTTTTCTTGTACGCATAACATTTTATTGTCATCCAAGGAAAAGTCGATTAGTGGGGGTGTTTGCTAGAATAAAGAACATTATGAAAGGTCTGCTAAAGTATTAATAAAATTTGTAATAATAGAAATACCTCTTTTTTAACCCTTGTTGTTATCTTGTTGTTAAATTGCCTTGGATTCGTTGCCGAAGTCAGCTGAACCGAAGTGCCTATAGATGGTTTATCAAATCTTGAAAAGCAAGCAGTTCACGAAAAAAGACAATTTCTAAGAATCTGAATGTTATTAGTTTCATATTACAAATACAGCTTAAATTATGGTTGTTTTATATACTTGCCGTTTCACTTTGAGTTAATTTTGAGTTGCTTCTGAAAATTTTACGAAATAGATGTGTATAATATGAGAAATAATTATTTGTAAAATGCTTCACTGATCTGGTAAGATAATGCATTTATTAAGCCTTTGTTAAAGATGAAAAATTAAAAAAATAACTAACTGTAGTTGACGAAATCGGATATTACTGAAGGTGCTGGAGGGTCACATTCAATTGAATTATTTCTAAAATGCTTCAAATACATTCTGCTCATTACGGAATGCAGACATGCATAAAATGATAAAATGATGAAATAATAATAATAATAATAATAATAATAATAATAATAATAATAATAATAATAATAATAATAATAATAATAATAATAATAATAATAATAATAATAATAATAATAATAATAATAATAATAATAATAATAATAATAATAATAATAATAATAATAATAATAATAATAATAATAATAATAATAATAATAATAATAATAATAATAATAATAATAATAATAATAATAATAATAATAATAATAATAATAATAATAATAATAATAATAATAATAATAATAA